ATCAGCTATATTGTATCAAAATACAGTAGAGCGGTTTGTATTTAAATGGCGACCCAAGCAGAACAGATCACGCAGTTTTTCAAGATAAAAGGCCTCACCGATCACATTACTCGCTGAGTTTGTTTGAGGACAGGGAGTGGCAAATCACAAAAATTGTGTAACAGTTCAACTCTTGATGATCAGTCGAAGAGATTTTCTTTCAGAGTTGATAGTTTCACTTTGTTAAAACATGGTCGACATCAGGGGGGGGGGGATTGGCACGAGAGGGCGCCATCCGATCTGAATGAAACGTTTCGACGTCAGTCGTCCGTAGCCTACCGTCAAAGCAACAACGTCCCGTTTACGAACAGATGAAATAATTTCAGCAATTTCTTTGCAGAATAATCCTCAACAAAACTTAGAAACATTTCATAGACAAATACAGGCTCCAAAATTATGTCTATTGCAAAACAATTCAACCGATAACCAGTTTGACGACACAATTTCTTGCTGGAGCCCGAGTTCTACGCGTGATTTTATTGCGTTCAAAACTGTTCCATTTCAAACTGCGCATGCACACACAATGTGGTTTCTCGAAATGCATACTAATTAGGTAACTTGTCACTGATAAAAGTCACCGAAAAAATGTTGAGCAATTTTGAGCAATAGTACTAGAGTGAAATATAAACGTGCCTCTGCATTCTCCAATAATTTCATAACTTGCTATGATCATGGTAAAGAGAAAACATGTGCTTACTTTCAACAGTTAGCTGGAGTCCGATCGAAAACGTGTCTCAAAAAATACCTTTACATCATTTTTCCGATTAATTTTTTTCAGCTCGTAACGATAGAATCAGTCAATTTAGAACTAACATGTATGCTATCGGAAAGCATTTTGGCACAATTTTACTGAAAAGACGAGTTTTTCATTGCTCATGAATATTAATTTATGCAAATAAGACAATTATTTCAACCAATCGTGTCATGCAACTCTCCCCCCCCCCCCTGCGCTGCGCGACGACCACCGCGCTTTAACGTCGGTGATGTTTACATTTTCCAATAATAACCACCACTCTTGCCATCGGCATATGGCCCTGTGCTTTGCAGTTCGAAATATCATATCTCATCTCCACGAAGCGCCATAGTAGCGAAGCAGCGCCACAGTAGCGAAGCAGCGCTACAGTAGCCACGTAGCGCCATAGTAGCGAAGCAGTGCCACAGTCACCACGCAACGCCACAGTCACCACGCAGCGCCACAGTCACCACGCAGCGCCACGTTCGTCACGTAGAACCACAATCGTCAACCATTCGTTTTTAGTGTAAAGAAGTGAACAATATTGTTCACACGCGTTGTAAGGGACTCACCACGCCGATTGAATATATCAGTGGGGGCATACTGAAATATGGAATAATATCATAAATTATTATACATCTGTCACCGTAACGCCATAAGTTACAGCGAGCCGTAATTTTGCGGTATTTTACGGGGTGTTTTCATACTACCATATTAGGAAATGCGAATTCCAAATATGGAATGATTACGCGCGTAAGCGTCCTCTAATAATAAAAACAAACATGGCTGCCACCAGGATTTGACCAGACTCCATACAAAGAAGTTCGCTGATTCTGTTCTAAACTTTTTGGATTTCGGCATTCCCATGATGTATCCGTGGAATAACCTTATATTATATTATACCAGTGTATTACTGCCATCATTGTGATTGGTTGGGAGACTGTTTTAATTTATGCAAGCCATGGTTAAATTAAGCAATAACCCCCGCCGAAGGCGGGTATACCACGAGATATTGCACAATTCACGACATATATGCAC